GAGAGAGAGAGAGAGAGAGAGAGAGAGAGAGAGAGTGGGTAGCAAATGGAGGAATCTTTACTACTCGACATTATCATAATCACCTATTACCAGTTACACTAATAAGCGAGATGTACCATCAAGGCTCAGGTAAACACCCTTGAATGTAAATGCCTATCTGAACTAAATGGACCTGGTGGGCCTGCAAAACTGTGCAGATCTTGCAAGGGAACAGCCTCTCGGATTTCTTCTTCTTGTCCTGGAAATACCACAAGCACCCCCGTCCTCATGCTATTTCAGCACTTCTGCATCTGGTCCTGGCCAAAACCTGGAAGAGCAGAATGGCAAGAAGACAAAAAAAGCCACAGAAAATAAACGTTGACTACACTTTTCAGCCCTTAAAACCAGTTTGAGCAAAAGTTTGGGAAGGTCAGAGGAAATCTTATTGTATCCAAACTGGATCCTCCTTACCCAGCAGTCACAGGACAGCTCTCTCCAGTTGCTTCTAATCTGCTGCCAGGATCTTGGTTTAGTCCCAGCCTTTCCTTCTCCCATCTCCTAATTTGCCTTTCCAAAGAGAGCAGCTGGACTCCACACTTCAGAACCCACCCAGGGCCAGCTCCAGGCACCAGCCTAGCAAGCAGGTGCCTGGGGCGGCCAATGAAGCGGGGGGTGGCACGTCCGGCCCTTTCGGCAGCAATTCGGCAGCGGGGCCATCACTCCCTTTGGGAGCAAAGGACCTGCCGCCGAATTCCCACCGTAGAATGAAGCAGCGGTAGAGCTGCCACTGCGATCGCGGCTTTTTTTTTTTTTTTTGTCGCTGCTTGGGGCAGCAAAAATGCTAGAGCCGGCCCTGAACCCACCCACCCCAGTGTAACGGCAGACATAAGGCAGGCAAATGCCATTCTCCTCCTGGTTGAAACAACAGCCCTCAGGGCCTCATCAGACACAAGGAACAAATGATAAATGAATATATTTCCATCCTTTGCCCCAGTCCTCTGATAAAAACACAGATGTTTGGAAGAAAGATTTGGGCTCCTTCTCTCAAAAGCAAATCTGGTTCTTCTTAGATCTGTTTCTCCCTTGCCAGAATCAGTCATGCAGACCCACATTCCTTCCCATGAAGGATAATTAACAATTGGGTCTAAATAAAGAACATTTCTCCTTGTTCTTATGCCAATAATGTTAAAATAAAGAGCAACATCAAAATGTTCCCTAAACACGGATGTATTATAGTTGCAGGGGACATAGGGCCAGCAGACCCTTCACATCTAGACGGGATCAGTCCAAGTTCATGAAGTAGGAAACATAGATCCTGTACGTATTCAGATAAAGGCAGCTGGTCCTTTCACAGCCACATAAAAGACCTTCAGTCAGAGTTCTTCTGAGACAACAGTATTATCCAGTACTTGATTAGATGAATCCTTAGGGAGATCCCATATCCTGTTTTCTGATTCTGATCGTCCTAGTGGCTGATCAATGTAATCAATAATCATTTACAAGAGTGCCACCTTACATTTATAAAGCTTCTTTCCATTCTGAAGTTCCCAAAGTGCTAGCCAGGATACCAGGGTTAACATCTATTTTTGCAAAAAATGACATGGAAGCTTTCATGACTGTACAAGTGGTCAGCCGACCCCCCAACACAGTTCTGAGCCATTGGTTCTCAACGGGAAGAGTGCTTTGTATTAGAACATGAAAACCACTTTCTGCAGCATCTTGAATTTTCTGTGGTAGTCTCCCAGCCAAGTTTTGCCCAGACCTAGCTGTGGTCACAGTTTGAGAGATCTATAAACCAAAGTCCAACCATTTTTATAAACAAACTGGTGATGTTCAGTTATCTCCCCCTCACTCTGTTTCATTTTATGGTCACTAGAAAATCTCATTTTTAACCATGTAAAAGATCTTACTGCAGTTTTACTGGAATAAGGAAGTAAGCAAGTCACACAAGAAGCAGCAGTGAAGGGGAATGGACTCTTTCTGTGGGAATAGGTTTCAGAGTGGAAGCCGCGTTAGTCTGTATCAGCAAAAAGAACGAGACGTACTTGTGACACCTTAGAGACTAACACATTTATTTGAGCATAAGCTTATCCGATGAAGTGGGTTTTAGACCACGAAATCTTATGCTCAAATAAATGTGTTAGTCTCTAAGGTGCCACAAGTACTCCTCATTCTTTTTTCTGTGGGAATGTTTCCCCTGGCCAGGGGTTGGCTACTTATAGATCTATTACTGGGGAAGAGGTAGAGGTGTCCTTTCCTTTCTCATCCTCACAGGCACACCCTCCTGAAGCTCCTCAAATTCAGCTTTACCCCCAGGACAAATGCCTTGCCCTTTAGCTTTGAAAATCCGCTGACCTTACTCAGCTTTAGAATTCATTCACAACACACCTCTGTTTGGATAGTGTTTTTCCTGATCCCTGATTACCAGAAATACCAAAGTACTGGGAGAAAGGCTACAATCATGGGCCAGTCAGGCCTGAAGGGTGAGTTTAGTGGGGACAGGAGCATCACCTGGGTCACAAAACATACAGAATAGGGGGGCAGTTGTCCAGGTGCCCTTGAGGAGAAACCCAGGCCCTGAAGGAGATCATGTAATCATAGAATATCAGGGTTGGAAGGGACCTCAGGAGGTCATCTAGTCCAACACCCTGCTCAAAGCTGGACGAATCCCAACTAAATCATCCCAGCCAGGGCTTTGTCAAGCCTAACCTTAAAAACCTCTAAGGAAGGAGATTCCACCACCTCCCTAGGTAACCCATTCCAGTGCTTCACCACCCTCCTAGTGAAAAAGTGTTTCCTACTATCCAACTAAACCTCCCACACTGCAACTTGAGACCATTACTCCTTGTTCTGTCATCTGGTACCACTGAGAAAAGTCTAGATCCATCCTCTTTGGAACCCCCTTTCAGGTAGTTGAAAGCAGCTATCAAATCCCTCCTCATTCTTCTCTTCTGCACACTAAATAATCCCAGTTCCCTCAGTCTCTCCTCATAAGTCATGTGCTCCAGCCCCCTAATCATTTTTGTTGCCCTCCGCTGGACTCTTTCCAATTTTTTCACATCCTTGTAGTGTGGGACCCAAAACTGGACACACTACTCCAGATGAGGCCTCACCAATGTCGAATAGAGGGGAATGATCACGTCCCTTGATCTGCTGGCATTGCCCCTACTTATACAGCCCAAAATGCCATTAGCCTTCTTGGCAACAAGGGCACACAGTTGACTTATATCCAGCTTCTCGTCCACTGTAACCCCTAGGTCCTTTTCTGCAGAACTGCTGCCCAGCTGTTCAGTCCCTAGTATGTAGCAATGCATGGGATTCTTCTGTCCTAAGTGCAGGACTCTGCACTTGTCCTTGTTAATAAAAGCAAAAAAGTGTTTTCCCCGACAGAAGATCAGCTATGATCAGAAAGCACTTGGGAATAGCTGGGAGGAGGGGGAATGCATGGGTCCTGGGAAGGAAGGGTTCCAGGGACTGTTGGGTGGGGGAACTGAGAGGGTGGGTTCCCTGGTGGATGGAGCCCCCAAAGGTTCTGATAATTCAGCTGTGTTTTAGATAAGCATCTCACCTGTTGGCTGCCTCTACAAATGGCAAACCTAAAGGTTCATCCATTATTAAAACGGGGAGCCTACTGAAAGCTGGATTGCTCCTCTCCATCTGGCAGAGCTACTCTGAGCATCCACCTCGCTGTGTGATTGCTTCACTGGAGGTACGTGGGCGTGGTCTCTATGTATGGGCATGTATAAATGAACAGATGAAAGTGCCTGCTCTGGTGCTCATATTCTTGGGCCAACATCTCACACAGCCTGGGCTTTTATGGACTTACCACCTCCATTTTTGTAACAAAGATAAGGGAATCTCCACACATTGCCCAGGCCGATGATCTCCCCAGCCACAGAGAGCATAAACTCCATTTTATTACTCCACTGGCCTCTTGGCTCCATTTCCAGCTTCTCCTTTTTGAGCAGCACCATGTCCCCATTGGGCTCAGCCTCCACAGCTGCTTTACTCTCTGTGGTCCAATGCAGCAAGGGAAACTGGGAGGGAAAATAGAGCACAGACAGTAAGAAGCTGTTACAGGACACACAGGAGTAGTATATCCCTCAATAGTATTCATCACCATGCATTTTTGACAGGTTTCCATGCCCCATTTGGGGCTTTTGTCCTGCCTTCCCACCCCTTTTCCATTGGCGCCAAAGTTTGGCACCGTCGGCCATTTTGAAAAAAATTTGTATGTGTGTTTGAATACGGGAAGTGTTGTGTGTGTTTGAGCTTGGATACATTGAGAGAAAAAGGTTGAAAGACTAGAGTGAGAGAGTTTAAAGATGAAAAAAGAAAGTTTGGGTAAGGTTTAGAGAAAAAAAGGAAATTTAAAAGAAGAGAGGTAAGTTATTCAAGAAAAGAGAGATGATGGTAAAGGCCTAGTTTGGTATGCTATTAAAGAATAGAAAATTTTGAGATAAATGTAAAAGGTGTGGGTGGGTTAAGAAAAAAGTTAAATAATATTGAAAAGTAGGGTTAAAAAGGGAATGTACTAAGGCAAAGCCTGTTTAGTAAGCATGTGGTAAAAAGTGGCTAAAAAAGCATTCAATACCAGTGTAGGTTTAAAAGAAAAAAAGAGGTCAGAGAGAAAAAGAGAGAAAGAACAGGGCAAGAAAAGGGAAAAGAAAGCCCCCTTTGCAAAAGGCAAAGATAGAGAGCACATGGTTGAATCAGAGAGAGACAGAATCTTTACCTTTCCTGTCTTTTTGTAGAATAAGGCAACTACTCAGTTCAGAAACTTTCAGATTTGTTATCAGCGCCTTCGTATCGGACCAATCAGAGTTTCTTCTACAGCAGCGTCATAGAATTCATTTTCCTGAACCAATCCTATAGTCCCAAGATTTTAAACAAGAGCCAACTCCCTTCTCTCCTCCCTCCCCTCCTTTCTCCCCCTGCCTTGTAACTGTCTTATTCTTTTCTAAAGAAACAGACCCCCAGTATTTTTTTCGCCATGTAGCTCTTTTACATAGGGGTTTTTATAAAAGTCAAAACCATAAGCTTTTAGTAACAAACAATTTTTAAAAGTTTTCCCCTAGGTTTTAAACTAACGGGGGTTATTTTTTTAATAAAAACCATCTGAAGCTGCAGCAAAGCTCCTGTTAGCAAAACAGGAGTCAGTGAGAAAAAGGAGTTTGTTTCTTCACCTGCTTTTTAACAAACACAAGTAAAAGTTACATTAAGTTTTGCAAAGGTATAATTACTTGAAAAGAGAAATCTATCCGAAGACACATCCTTTTTGCATGTGTTTCAATAAAAAATCGTGCAGAAGCACCCCAGGTTTAAAACCACAGGTTTTTAGTGACAGACAGTTTATCTTTTCCTTATTTTGTAAAACACTGGATCAGAGAGAAGAAGTTTGTCGTTGTCCCCCCCTCCCCCCACCCCTTTTTAACAAATAGAGGTGAAAGTTTTGGAAAGGAATAAACCCTTGGAAAGACAAGCCTATCTGAAGACACATGCCTTTGTTATAGGTGTTTTAATAACATGTGAGTTTGCAGAAACAGTCCAGGGTTAAAAACAGAAAGCTTGTTTATAAAAGTAATGTATAGTCATAAAAAAGTTTTTCCCTAGGTTCTAGACTAAGGTGGTTATTTTTTAATAAGCCCAATATGAAACAACAGGCTTTCAGCAAAGCCATTGTTAGCAAAAACAGCCTCTGTGATCAGAGATAAGAAGGCCAGAACATAACAAGAAAGCCCTAGGCCTGCTTTTAAAACAAAATTGTACCAAAGACTTGTTAAACTAAACCTTTTCTTTTTGTTATGTAACGAAGGCATCACTTTGTAAGTAATCTTATTTACAAGGTAAAATAAAAAAAGAAATTACCTTAGGGTTAAAGCCACAGCCGGCTAGTTTATAAAAGCAATTTGTTAACAAAGAGAGGTGAAAGTTTTGCAAAGGCCTTGATAAACACTTGAAAAGACAAACCTATATGAAGACACAGCCCTTTATTTAACACTTTTGTATATGTTGTAATAAAAAAAGCATGCAAAAGCACCCAGGGTTAAACCCTAACTAAGAAACGGATAAGAGTGGGAGGGATAGCTCGGTGGTTTGAGCATCGGCCTGCTAAACCCAGCGTGGTGAGTTTAATCCTTGAAGGGGCCACTTTGGGATCTGGGGCAGAAATCAGTACTTGGTCCTGCTAGTGAAGGCAGGGGGTTGGACTCGATGACCTTTCAGGGTCCCTTCCAGTTCTATGAGATAGGTATATCTCCATATTTATTTATAAGAAAAAGTTTTCCCCCATGGTTTTTAGAAAGAACAACTTGAAACAGCCTTTTGAAGGTAGTGGACTAGAAAAGAAGATCCCTTTGAAAAACAAGACTATCTGCAGGCACATTCCTTTATTTAACCCCTTTGGCATAAGTGTTTTAATAAAATGTAAGCCTGAAAAATTAGTTCAGGGTTATAAAAGTAATGTATAGTGACAAAGTTTTAGACTAGCACTGGTCATTTTTTAGTAAGCACAATTTGAAACAGCAGCAAAGCCACTGTTAGCAAAAGGAGCCTCTTTGATCTGAGAGAAGAAGGCCAGAACATAACAAGAAAGCCCTAGGCCTGCTTTTAAAACTAAATTATACCAAAAACTTGTACTAAAAAGAATATAACTTTAACTGTAAATAAGCTTACTATATAAAATAAAAACTTTATGAAAGTTATAACATGTATTTTATTCCATTTACTGATCGTAAAAGACAAAAACCACCACTTTGTGACTGAATGAAGCTTAGAGATAGCCTATCTGAAGAATACCCTCATCCCTTGACTCCCTCCCCCATACGTTTAACACTTGCTAAACATGCAGTGTTTTATTATATAAAGGTTTTTAACATTTAACATGAAAATACAGAATTGACTGAGATGTAACATAACATGACCTTTTTAAAGGATATTTTGTATGCAGTGAGGGCTATTTGAAGCGTTTAAATAGAGGAGCTCCTCCTTACTTAGGGAGGGAGGGCTCATGGTATTCTTAGCCAATAGTTTAGGGCTGCCATTTTAAGGAGGAGCTCCTCTATTTAAACGGGTCTGCGCCTCGAAGGCCCTGGCCAACACCGGCAGTCAAGCTTCTCATGAAGAGACGTTATACGGTCGCTGCTATGGGACCTGAAGAAACAAACACACCATTGTGGCAAACAGTGTTTGAGACGGGTCATGGGAGCGGGGAGACAGGGATAGCTAACGATGCCAGTACCCGCAGGAACAACGCGGTGGAGAAACATGAGGCCAGACCGCTGGGCCATGATTTGTTTGAGACTCCGGCCCCCAGCCAGGAGGAATCAAATGAAGGTCTGTACGGAGACAAGGCACAGGTACGGTGTATGTAAGAACATTCAAAGGGATGGTTTGGCACTGACCGATACTCAGTTGGCTAGAGCCTTTTGGATCAAGCCTGCATGGAGACATATTTCAGTTGTTGTTTGTTGTTTTTAAAAGCTGCATGCAAAAGGGGTCTCTTGATACATGGTGTAAAAGGGTTTAAAATCATGTTATGAAAAAGTACAAAGATACCTTACACACATTTCTTACTGTCAATTTTTCAGCTGAGCGATGGTTCTTCAGAGGACTTGGAGGTTTTGGACACTGACAGCTCCGAAGAACCATGCGGTTTGGGCCCAATCTGTTTTTGCCCAGACACAAAACCAGATGCTCCACAGAATGCCAAAACAGCAGGGGACGCTTATTCTATAGGCCTGTACTATCTAAAGTTGAGGGAGAAATTCGGTATTAAGCCGGAGCCAATTCATAACCGTAAAACCGGGATGCGTGCAATTGTGCGAGCAGCTGTGCACAGAATCATCAAGCACTGCCTGAGAGAAAAACAAAATGAGGATTGTCCTGGGTGCGCCATAGATGGCCCAAGTCAGAGGCATCATGCCTTCATGTACTGGTCTTTAAATGATGTGAATTGTAAAATTAAAGAAATTAGCGGTAGTTTGTGTATGGAGAGTGTGTTAAATATCATCATCATGCTGGGATACATACTGCAGTGCCTCTGTTTAACCCAGGAACATTTAGCTCTAGGGGCAGAATTGGTGCACAAAGTGGCAGAGGCCGAGGACCCAAATAGCATTTTAGATGAAATCATCAAACTGACAGATAAATATTTAATGCAAAATGTTGAACGTCTTCTTCATTCAGCAAATTACAAAATCTTGCTAAGAAAAATCACTAACAGTTAGAGCATGTTTTGGGAACAAAACGGAGTGTGTTGTAAAATAAAATGTCAGTTAAAAATAACTGTGTAAAGAGTGTTTTTATGGAGTTCAAGGGGTGTGCGGTTTGTCAAAAGGGCAGTAGGTTGCCCCGCGTAGTATACGCATAGGTTACAGTTTGTCAACAACAACAAAAGATATATGAACAGCCTGATCCTCTAACAAAGGCCCACCCCACCTCACCAAGCCCTGGTATTTGTGCATGAGGGTTATAGGCTCCCTATGGACCGTTGCAAAGCAGTCCCAGAACCCCTCTTAAATCATACCATCTTCCGCTTCAGCTGTACCTTTTCATTTTCCACCCCAAGGCCCTCTGCATTAGGACTTAATCATAGCCCCTCTCATTTCAACAATGTCTCAGGTCTCTCGTCTACTGTTTCATATTTAATGCTGTACATCAGGGGTCGGCAACGTTCGGCACGCGGCTCGCCAGGGTAAGCACCCTAGCGGGCCGGGCCAGTTTATTTACTTGCTGACGCGGCCCCCACTCGCCGCAGTTCGCCTTCCCGGGCCAATGGGGGCGGCAGGAAGCCGTGGCCAGCACATCCCTCGGCCCGCGCCGCTTCCCGCCGCCCCCATTGGCCCGGGACAGCGAACCGCGGCCATTGGGGGCCGCGATCGGCCAAACCTGCCATGTCAGCAGGTAAATAAACTGGCCCGGCCCGCCCCGCCAGGGTGCTTACCCTGACGAGCCGCGTGCCGAACGTTGCCGACCCTTGCTGTACATCATCTAGGGTTACAGTTTGCATAAAAGTGTTTTATAAAAACAAACAAAA